AAATTGGTTTATCTGGGCCAACTGTATGGCCTTAAACATCCAAAAGGAACACTGAGATGTATCTAAAGTATTTGGGAGCTTTTATCTAATCCTTAAAAGATTTTAGGGTTACCTCTTCAAAGAGGGGAATGTTAGAGTACCAAAACGCCCCATTTAAATAAAAAAAAAAAAGAGGGGCTGGAGAGATGGCTCAGCAGTTAAGAGTACTGACTGCTCTTGCAAAGGACCCGGGTTCAATTCCCAGCAGTCACATGGCAGCTATGACGCATCCTTAACTCCAGTTCCAGGGGAATCTGAAGTTCTCTTCTGACCTCTGAGGCATTGCATGACACAGGTGCACTCACATACATGCAGGCAATACACTCATACAATAAAAATAATAAATAAAATTTAAAAAGAAGAGTATATGAAGTTATCAGAAAAAAGTGATAGGGAGATATGAGAGGAGTTGGAGGGGAGGGAGTGGGCATAGAGATCAAAATACCTTATACGCATGTATGAAATTCTCAATAAATTATTAAAAACAAAACAAAAAAACATGGCTGTCCATTTTTTTTTTTTCCGTTTTTTTTGAGACACGGTCTCTCTGTAGCCTAGCTGGCCTAGAACTTGCTAGGCAGACCAGGCTGGGCTTGAACTCACAGAAATCTGCCTGTCTCTCCCTCCGAAGCGCTGGGATTAAAGGCATGCACCACCATGCCCAGCTCTGTCCATGTATTTTTATAGCTTTACAAAATCGCACTTGACTCCCAAATGTTCTAACTCATCAGCTAGCTCACAGTTCCCTTTGACCCTAAACTTAGCTGTGGTTCTGACCTACTGGTGGTTACTGAAATCATTTCTGGGTAATTTAACAGCATCTAGGGTATAGAAGGGCATCTACCTTTTTTTACATACTTTTCAAATATTTAAAAAATAATTAGCATTGAAGAGGGCTGGAGAGATGGCTCAGAGGTTAAGAACACCTGCTCTTCTTGCAGAAGACCTGGGTTTGAATCCCAGCACCAACATGGCAGTCAACGACTGTCCATAACTGCAGTTCCAAGGGATCCAACAGCTTCTCTGTCCTCTGTGGACATTGCACAATACAGGTGCACTTACCTACATGCAGGCAATACATGCATACACATAAAATAAAAATAATAAAATATTTTTAA